CATGGATACCAACTTCTTCCCACTGTTTACCGGATGCACACATGATGGTAATACTTCAAAATCCGTTTTGCGTCTTCTGAGCGCAAAAATCCTCATGAAAAGATTTCAAAAATTCGATATCCCTTTATTTTTGCCTATGGGGGAAGAAGGGAAAGCATCCCAAATGTAGCCCGAGTGGTAGCACATAGTGTCTACAACAAGCATTTGATGAAACGGATTTCTTTGGCTAAATTTTCCAAGAATTTATGAAGCAAATTGAAATACTTCTAAATTCCTAACATTTGACAGCACTGTAACTCGCGGAGGTGCGGAAAGACCAGCGCGACTGGAGGGCTGCGTTGCTTTGAGAGCGGTGAGCATTCATCTAACACAAACAATGCTTTATACTAAAAAAAAAAAAAAAAACCCGATCATTTATAATTACAGTATTTACATATCATGGAGGGGGAACTCGAATCATGAGACTTGTGGTATTTGCATATCACATGAAATCGTAGGGCAACTGGGCAAAGCGAAGGGAATTAGCAGCCAACTTCAGACCTTGCCAATAGCAGCTCCTTCTTCCTTTAATTCACCGTTAAAGTTGGAAGGATGTTTTCTTACTGACGGATCTCAGCCGGGACCAAGCCAAAAAGTGATCAGATTAGCTAAAGCATTTTTTATAGTCTAGATAATGCAGCTTATCAAAAACGCTTGATTTTAATGCAGTCTGGAGGATCGCGTTTTGCAGGTTTTGATGCAACAGCAATAGTATCGTATTTGACGAAAGCTGGTGTTTTGTCGTTCCCGGGTGGTCTGCCAAGTTCACTGATAGCATCCGGACAGCAGTGGGATTTCCCGAATGCATGGGCACCAACAACATGGGTCGTCATCCAGGGACTGCGTGCCAGTGGTCAGCACGAACTCGCTCGTCAGATTGCCGAAAAATGGATCAAGCGAAATTACAGCATGTGGCTTAACTCAGGTGGTCGAATGTATGAGAAGGTTTGTCTTCTTCTTGCAGTTCTTTTTATGCTTTTTTTGCATAGCATCTATAAAATGCAGAAAACGCATACTGACGAAGGGTTGTCTGTGTATGTATATGTGTTAGTCTGTACAGATTTTTCATCTGGAGACCTACAAAAGCTATAGGGCTGAAAGTTTGTGAAATTAATCTAAGTGCGTGTAGATTAAATTCACAGACTTTCATCTTCAAAATAGGCGCTCTTACCTGCGTGGTATCCAGGTTTTTTTTCGGGTTAGTTGCTAACCCGGAAACCAGGAAAGTTAAAAAGCTGAAATTTCATTAAGTGATGTTTTTAGACAACCCTGATGGCTAGTCTCAATTATCCTAGCTAGAAGCATTTGCCAGAAAAACTGGTACGGTTAGCGACAAAAACCTGTGGGGAACTGTGCAAAAAAACGCAGCTCCGCACCGGCAGTTGATGCGTTGGCCATTTATTTTTTGAACTCTTAAATTCTTTAATTTTCAGTACAATGTTGCCACGCAGTGCTTCGATTCGGCTGGAGGTGGTG